TATATATATATTTCTGAGAGGGAACAAGAGAATAAAAAGATGGCCTGAGGGCATCATAAGAAACAGAATGGCAGCAGCATAGAAAATCTGTTCCCCAGAATTGGAATCAGAGTGCTCAGCAATTTAGGCATTCAACCCATACCAGCAGAGGAGAAAAGCCTGGTTACTACTCTAACTGGCAGCATCTATCTGGTTTTAGGTACATGCAGAATGTAAGAGTTGTGCAGTTAAGAAGGCTTCCATCCAATTTCAGAAGGCCTAGAGGCTAGGCAGTGTGCCCTTGAGAGGGCAATGTGTGAAGCTGAAAGGGGAAAGCCAAAGGTGCAATCGGGATCCCAGAAGGTTGGAGAAGCCAGGAACATGGATCATCTAAGGAAACCTGCAAAGAGGGAGTAAAGCCAGCCCAAGAAAGAAGCAGTGGGAGCTATAACCACAAGAAGTGCCACTGGGCCAGAGCCACCCAAGCTCTTTGGAGCTTGCAACTTGACAGACTGCTTCAGATGCTGCATAGGGAACTACTGGACTTGCTATGCTAGACTGTGAACTTGCTCTGGTCCCATTCTCTTGCATCCCCATTTATAACTGCAATGAAATATCTGTATTGTGTCACTGAATGTTGGAAATATTTTTCATTTTTACAAGAGCTCACAGCTGCCATGTGTGGCAGCATACATCTGTAATCCCAGCACTTGGGAGGCTGAGGCAGGAGGATCATGGCAAGTTCGAGACCAGCCTGGGCTACAAAGTGAGCTCAAAGACAGCTTGAACTGCATAGTGAGAACCTGTCTTAAACGGACCAAAAAAAAAAAAAAAAGGTAGCTAAGAGTTTGCCTTATATCTCAGAGGAGACTTGGGACTTAGACTCTTTGGCAGTGCTAAAACTGTTAATGTTATGATTCTAATGTAATATAATGTTGACAGACTTAATACTGGTTCTTAAGGCTTGTTAAACCTGTGTTATAATGTTCAAGTTGTAAAATGACAGGAATAAGCACCACCAAACCTTACCCTCTATTTTGGTGATATAATTGGTGCATTTCCCTTTATACACAAGAAGTTACAACACGGTAGGCACAATTATAGTCTTGTCTTCAGATCCAGATACCAGTTTAAAGGAATGTGTATGGCTGCCACATTGACAAGGGGTACACTGTGATGGTTGATTCGATGGATCAACTTGAGAAGTTTAGAAGTTTAACTAAGTGATTCAGTAATTCTATATCCTAGGGTATAGAGGGCCCACCCCAGGACAGGTAGCCTGCATACACGCTAAGGGAGGAAGAGAGGCCTGCTCACCCCTTTTTGCCCTGGTTACGTTTATATCTCCCACCAGTATGAATGGCTGCCCTTCAGCCACACCACCCTGTCTTGCAGCTAGTTGACTATGGACTGAAACTGAAATTTTCAAAGGGAATGGTGATTTGTATGCTAAAAATAAGCCATATAGGGCCGGGGAGATAGCTCAGTAGAGTAAGCACTTGCCTTGTAAGCACAAGGTCCTGAGTTCAATCCCTGGTACCGCCAAAAAAAAAAAAAAGGAAACTTTCATTGAGATTTTTGGGCTGGTGAGATGGCTCAGTGGTCTAAAGCACCTACTTAGAACAAGCTCAGCAAAGCACAGGGACTGCGGTTCAATCCCCCAGCACCACATGCCAGCCAGCCCCGCCCCCTGGTGGGCTGAGCTGGCCACACACACATATAAATAAATTAATTTTAAAAAAAAAGCCATATAACCACACTAATGTCTGTCACAATACTATAGCAACAAAGCATATAGTAATTCATATACAAAGGATTTCATTAAAGGAGGATCCTTCATAAATCCACAGCAAATACCTGAAAAACGGTATTATAGCACATATCCAATATAAAGAACTAGCCCTCTGTCTTTAGAGCCATTTTTTTTTTTTTTTTTGTGGAACCGGGGATTGAACTCAGACCCTTGCACTTGCCAGGGAAGCGCTTATTCCACTGAGCCATCTCCCCCGCCCCTTTAGAGCCATTTTTAATCTCACAGGAAACAGAGAAAACATTTTCATCTTGCATATGCCAACTGCTTTGAAACTAGAAATAATCAGAAATGTGAACAAAATCTAAGAATACTAATGACAGAATTACCAAGATAAAGGTTCACTGAATTATAAAAAGATAATATGTATGAATTTTAAAAATTAAGAGTGTTTCAAAATATTAAAGTTGATTACTGCTGGGAAGCATAACTTTAGCTTTTTTATTCTTGTATTTTTTTACTTGTCTATTTGTCTACAAAAACCAAAAACTTTTATTTATAATAGTGTCAGTCAAAACATACTTACTTGGGGAACAGCAGTTTATTAACATTAAATGAAAAAAACAGGGCTGGGGAGACTGATAGTGGCGTAAGTGCTTGTCTAGCAAGTGCAAAGTCCTAAGTTCGAAAACCCGGTACAAAAAAAATGTTATCATGTATTTACAAATACCAAGCAAGCAGTCCCTCTCATGAAGGAAATGTTCTAAGACCTCTGATTGGCCTCCTACAACTATGGATAGTATAGAATCCTACACCATGTATATTCCTATATCTACATACCTACAATAAAGTTTAATTGATAAATCAGACATAGTAAGAGATTAACAACAATAACTCTAACAAAATAGTATAATGAAAACTGCCAACAATGAGGCTGTGGGAAAAAAGGAATATTTCTACACTGGTGATAGGAAAATAAACTAAGACGTTGAAAAAATCAGTATGGAGATTCTTCAGAAAACTAAAACTAGAAATTCCATTTAGCCACCCTATTCCCCTTCTAGGTATCTCCCCAAAAGAGTTAAATACATAATAGCACAATGATGTATGTGTACCCCTGTTTATAGCAACGCAACTCACAAAATGACTAGATCATGGAAGAGGCTGTATGCCCACCCACAGATGACTAATTACAGCAAAGCTCACATATGCTCTAACATGTATTAAAGTATAGCATGCTATGAAGAAGGAACAATCTGAATCATCTGTATGAAAATGGATGCACCTTGGAACCATCATGTTAAGTGAAGCAGGGAGGACGCACAAGCTTAAATATTGTTGAAACATGAGAAGCCCAGAGAATAAGTCATTTTAAGGGCAAAATAATGGACGGATACTAGGAATCCAGGAATAGATCTTTTGCAAATGGGAAAGGGATCTAGAGATGGGGATTATGATGTGTTGCGTTTACATACTAACTCCCCGCTCCATGTCCTACAAACATGAACTGATACAATAAATAAAACTGCCAGAATCACTCTGCTAGCACTTCGGTGGCACTATTAAGTAAGATAAGCTTTATCTGAACATTAAGTACTGCAACACTGTGACACTCTATTAATCACAATAGCTACTAAGTAGAAGCCAATCAGAACATGCAGCACGAACAAAACTCTACGTGTAAGATTTTATGTCAGACAAAAGGAGGACTCATATGCTGCTCGAGGGGTGGAACAGTGTAGGAGCTCTTCGTGACACTCGGAAGTCTGCTTTATGTTTGGAGGGCACGAAGGTAAGGCTGGGGGTTGAATCCCAGACCTTGCGCATGCCAGACAAAATGCCCTGCCACTGAGCTACAACCCCGGCTCTTTTTGACACGGGGTTTCACCGAGTTGCTCAGGATGGACTTATGTGATACGCGTCAGGCACCCAAGTACCTCGTGTTCCCCTGAAGTCTTATGAAGCATTTATTTCTGAACTTTACATTTACCACTGTCTGACTACAGTTTAATGTGAAACTACAGAAAGTAAAGTATGGGTGGAAAGACTACTGTACATAAACAAAATACCATTAAAAAAATCCATACAGAAATATTTCCACATGAAGAATACCTTAACAAAATTATCAAACGTACCTTAGAAAGCCGGAAGTCAACCAATATCTTCTCATCCATTTCTACCAAATTCACTTTGAAAATCAGTTTATTGTTTCTCCTATCAGTTGTTGACACAGTAACCTAAGGCAATAAAAATAAAGTTAAGCTACATGCATGAGTATAAAATACTCTTAAAAATAAAATTATATTCCCAGGTCAATGATACTTTTGGGACAAAAATTTGTAGTATACATCCAAAGCAAGTGTACTATGTGTGTCCAAACCAAACCAACCTGTGAACAGCGATTGAGGTCATGGGAACTTGTAACAACTAAAGAAATAAAGCTGAAAGAAGAAATAGAGTAATCAAGAGGGGAACACTATCATCACAATATAAAAAAGAAACAATGAGGCTAGATTTGTGTGGGAAAAAGATGAAAAGGTCTGGAGAGGTCCTGCAATTTCCATTCTCTTTCTTTTTGAATGTTCTTTCGGCCTATAAGGCAGCTCTACCTACAAGAACATTCTCCTACAAAGCATAGTATTATCACCCCACCACCTGAGAATGATAATAACTAGTACCAGCCCATTATTACACTGATATCTTTTATAGGTGTCTCCTCTTAAAATCTACGATCTGGTGCAGTAGCGGTGAACCTACTGCATACATGCGACAGCAGGCTGTATCACTGAAAGCTCTAAAAGGTTTACCATCATGATCTAACGAAAGATCACATTGCGTTTACTTATCAAGCTTTTAAAATCTTAAGTACAGAATAACCATCTCTTTAAAAATCTAAATATAGGGCCTGAGGAGATAGCTCAGTGGTCTAAGCACCTGCCTGGCGAGCACAAGGACCTGGGTTCAATCGCTGTACCATATGCCATGCCGGCCCCAGAACCCTGGGCTTGCCATGCTGGCCCCAAACCAGGCACGGTGGTGCACGCCTATAATCCCAGCACTAGGGAGGCTGAGACAGGAGGATCACTACAAGTCTGAGCTGCATAGTAAGACCCTGTACCAAATAAACACAGAACACCAGGGCTTTAATTGCAGTACCATAATATAAACAAAAACTGGTGTATAGGATCAGGGAGACAGGTATGAAGTTTATTCCCATAATTCTTCCACAAGGGCAGTCAACTTTCAAATAATGATACGCAGTTTTAAAGTAATGAATCTAGCTATTTAATACGTTTTATTTATCTTTTGAGCTTATGATACAGACCAATTTGGCTCTAAATTGCTTTCTTGCCTCAGCCTTTCACAGTGCTGCGATTTCAGGTGTATGCCACCACACTCAGCTATTGCTTTAAATGTTTAAAGAATTATTTCTTAAGGGGGCTTGCAGGGTAGCTCAGTGGTTTAAGCGCCTGCTTGGGCAAACCCAGTCAGGCGCAGGGGACCACGGTTCAATCCCCAGCTCCACAAGTCTCATCAGACCTGCCCTTAACGTAGCCTGAACCAGCCAAAAGACATAAGGTGCATTTTATTTAAATTTTTTCAGGGGCTGGAGAGATGGCTCAGTGGTCTAAAGCACCTACTTAGAACAAGCTTAGCAAAAGCATCAGGGACCGCGGTTCAATCCCCCAGCACCACATGCCAGCCAGCCCTGCCCCCTGGTGGGCTGAGCTGGTCTCTCTCTCTCTCTCTCTCTCTCTCTCTCTCTCTCTCTCAAATAAATAAATAAATAAAATTTAAAAAAAAAAATAAATAAATTTTTTCAATTTCCCAAACACTCAGGAGGCTGAGGCAGGAGGAGTGCCATGAATTGGAGACCAGCCTGGGCTACAAAGTCCAGGGTCAGCTTGAGATACATAGCAAGATCCTGTCTTTCAAAAATAAATAAATACTTTTTTTTTCCAAATTTCTTTTAGGGGGCTTAGAGGAGATGGGTCTTTTCTTTTTTGGTACCAGGAACAGAACTTAGGGCCTTGAGGGACTTGCTAGTTAGCTCAGTTGCTTAAGCGCCTGCATGGGCAAACCTAGTCAAGCATGGAGGACCGCAGTTCCATCCCCAGCTCCACATGCCACTCCAAACCCGCCCTTAAGGCAGCCTGAGCTAGCCAAAAAAAAAAAAAAACTTACGGCCTTGTGTTTGCCAGACAGGTGGTACACTGCTGAGCAAATCTGAATTATTTTTGAAGTATATTAATGATAGTTTTTAGCCAAATTTTTAATTTTCTGTGGAAAAATACATGAAGAAAATCAACAAAACATACCTGATTCATACAACTCTTTTTCCACTGATAGCCCAACTTCTCACAGGTCTCTTTCAGGTACTGATAAGATTTGTCTGCATCCAATTTGGTAAAGAAACGTGTCATTCTTTTGACCAAGCGCTGCCAGGGGTTCTACATGTCAAATAGGAAAGCAAAATAAATCTACAATGACCAAAACCTGAGATATGACAGCTATTGAGCTTGAGAAATTTTTTCTGTGAATTGAGTCTTTTCCATGAAGTCCACCTGCAATTCATCCTTGAACAAAATGTTATGTAAAAAGTATTAATACTATATTCCTAAGATTTCTACATAAATAAAAGATGTTAAAAAAGGTTTAACAAAAAAAAAAAAAGGTTTAACAGCTTTATAAAAGGTTTTACTGTCTTTAGATAACAAAAATAAAGGCAACTATTATGTATTTGAAAAACTAAATTCCCCCCTTACCTGTGAAGATCCTGGGGTGCCAACTAGCTGACTATTCAGAAGCATGTGATCAGGGCATGCAGGCTGGGAGAAACTGATCCCTTGTACCAGTTTATCGATGTATGAGGGACTGGTGTCCCATAAGGAAAGACCTGTACGTGGCTCTGGCTGGGAACTGGAGTACTTCACATTTTCTTCACTGAGGCATTAAGACAGAAAAATATGTCATTTTTTTTTTTTTTTTTCCTTCAGGTATTTTGACTTCTGTTCTTTGAGATATCATTTCACCACGTTAGCCTACACCAGTAGTAGCCTATAACTAACCATCTTCCTGCCTAAGCCTCCCACGTACAGCTGCTAAGATGACAGGCAGGTGGCATCATGCTCATCAGAAAGTATTTCTGTAAATAAAATCTACCAGATCTTTCTTATATCTAACAATCATTCTCATCCTGAAATTATGTTCATTATTAAGAAAGGTATATAAATGCAATATTATTCTCAGGGAATTCTACATTCATAACTACTTAGTCTTTCTTTATTAACTTACCTAGAAGTACTGTTTATTGGAGAGAAGTCCAAGTTGGAGTGAATATGCTTAGAGAATCCACCAGGAGACTCTGACACACCACCTGAAGTGACCCGGGGCCTCTTTGCTCCTAAAACAAAACACAACACAACTGACTCTAAACCTTCTATGCAAATATTTCTTAATTAACCCAACTGGCAATTTAAATAGGTAAAACCATATCTAAATACACATATTGAACCAAAGTACATAGAGGTCAAACAGTGGGTCTTCCTACATCATTTTATAAAAAACATGGTCAAGCTATAAATTTACTAAGACTCACTTGTAAAATTAAATGCTTCACAAGTTATGACCATTAAGCATATTCTAACCGTGGGCTACCATCTAAAGCCATAACTGTAATGGGGAACACAATAATGTTCCACAAAGATGAAGAGATCTATTTAAAAGACTAGAACACTTTAAAATTTAAATATTCTGCAATAAGCAATAAACATGAATCGTGGACCGAACAAATAGCTCAGTGGATTAAAGTGCCGGCAAGCAGGCACAGGGGCCAGGGTTCTTCTATCCCTGGCCCCGCCCCCAGGGCATGCTGAGTCTGCAATTGAGACTGGGCATGGTGGCGCGTGCCTATAATCCCAGCTCTTGTGAGGCTGTAAACAGGAGGATCACTACAAGTCCGATCTAGTAGTGAGACTCTGAACACTCTGTAGACCCTTCCCTAAAATACAATAAATAAATAAATAAAAATAAACATGAATCTACCTATCTAACATACTGCTCCCCTAGAAAAGCTTTACCAAGAATTATCACTATAAAGAAAATGACAGCACTACAAACTCATGGTTGCACTCCTCAGATGTACCCTCAGAAGCGGCTGTCAAACTTAATTTTCCTTTCTCAGGAGGACTATTTCAAAGCTGCTACACTCTCCTGAAATTTCTAAGACCTGACTCCATCCCCTGGTGACTTAGCATGATGCCATCTCCCATTGCACACAGAAAACAAAGCTAAGACAGAAACTGCTCAGCATGCCCTACAGAATCCGCACATATGCGTGCCTTCCTACCTGTCTTTTCTCTTTTACTCAGCAGCACTGAGGATTAAACAGGCTCTTCATACTGAGCTGCATCCCAGCCTTCTTGCCATCTTGTTTTGAAATAGAACCATCAAGTCACTAAATTGCCCAAACTTGGCTTGAATTTATGACCTGCCTGCCTCAGGCTTCAACAATTGCTGAAATTACAGGTATGTGCCATCAGGCCCACCTTCTCCTCCTTTGCATCCTCTTATCAAATGCTTGTCCCTCTACCTGGGCTATGAAGTTCATGCCCTCCTACTGCTACTGTCCCAATTTTTTTTTTTTTTTTGCGGTACTGGGGATTGAACTCAGGACCTTGCATTTGCCAGGCAAGCACTTAGTCTACTGAGCTATCTCTCCAGTCCTAAAATTTGAGAAGGATTTTTTTTCTCCCTCTGGCTGGCTCAGCCTGCCTTCAGGGCGGGCCTGGTAAGACAGGTGGAGGTGGGGTTCGAACCATAGTATCCTGCGCCTGGTTGCATTTGCACAAGCAGGCACTTAAACAATTGAGCTAACCAGCAGGCTCTCCCTTCCCAGATATCTTGATGCCTTGATTTATTCCTTTCTTTTAAGACTATCAGCTATTCCACTGCTGGATCTATAACCCAAATCTTTACAACATGCTTAAGGTTATCCAATCTTTTTATTCACAAACCAATACACTCAAGCATTTGGATAAATATCCATTCACTTAAATACCTTATTAGAGGCTGGGTGTGGCAGTGCATGCCTATAATCCCAGCACTTGGGACACTGGGGCAAGAGGATTGCTATGAGTTCAAGTCTAGTCTGGGCTACAAAGTGAGTTCAAAACCAGTCTGAGTTGCATAGTGAAACCTGGTCTCAAAAAGACAAAATAAATAAATAAACAAACAAACATTTTATTAGTTCTACTATTGCCAGGCATTATTCTAGGTACTAAGTATTCAGCATGAAGAAAATTGACAAAAGTCATTGACCTCTTAAATTCTACAGAGAAAAAAATAGAGCAAAGTTAAAATTAAACTTGCTAAACAGTGACAAGTGCAACAGAGAAAAATAACACTTCCAAGGAAGTCTTCGGGAGAGATGGGGGTTCAGCTTTAAAGTCTCCCTCAATGACAATGAAGTCAATGCCCAAAGAAAGGAAGGGACCAGGACATAAAGGTAAGTCTCACAGGAGGGAAAGCATTTATAGGCAGAGAGAACATTCATTACAAAAACAACTGAGGCAAAAATGAGCCAGGAGAACAGTGAACAGACTAATACACTGTAAAGCTATGACCACGGATAAAAAGCAGAACTGAAGACTAAAACATAAGACCTCACAGGACACAGACTCATCTTAGCTTATATTTTGAGAGAGAAGTAAAATGGTGAAAGGCTTGAGCAGAACAGTGACACACTCTAACTTTCCTTTTGAATGGAACACAGTGACAAGACACCATGGTAGAGAGCAACAGAGGTAAGAAAAAGCCGGAATCTGAGATTTTTAAAGGTAAAGATTAACAGACATTTTTGGTAGGCTGGAAATGAGGTAAAACAATAAGAGGATACAAGAAGGTTCTGAGGTTTCTGATCTGCCTCACAAGACAGATGCAGCTGGAAAAGACTAGAAGGAGGAGACATGAAGGAGAAAGATCAAAGAACTCAGTTTGGAGTACATCAAGTTTCAGATGGCTGTTATACTCAAGCAAAATCTGAGAAGTGAAACATAAAGAGTATGGAATTCAAAGGAAAAACTGATGTAAGAGTGCTGAATTTTTTTTTTTTCTTTTCAGACCGGGGATTGAACCCAGGCCCTTGCACTTGCCAGGGAAGTGCTTATTCTATTGAGCCATCTCCCCAGCCCGGAGTGTTAAATTATTAACATATAATTTATATATTAGCAAAGAGATGAAATGAAATTAATGATGGAGTGAATGTGGATGAGACAGAAAGGGAGGCCCATGGTTTGAGTTCTGGCACACTCCAATATTGAGAGCCTGGGCAGGGGCCGGGGAGATGGCTCAGGAGGATAAACACTTCCCTGGCAAGTGCAAGGGCCTGAGTTCAATCCCCAGTTCTGCCCCCCAGTCCCCAAAAAAGAGGCCAGGCAGATGAAGGAAAATCATCAAGGGAGACAGAAAAGGAGTTGCCTGGTGAAGAATGAAATAAAGAGAGAGTACTGCTTGGATGTCAAATGACAATGTTTAAAGTAGGACAGCATGAGCAGCTGTGTAAAATGCTGCCGATCAAACAAAACAAGAGCAGGCCTAAAGACTGACTTGGACTTGGCAACATATGTCCCTGTACCTTTTCACAAAAGATTAGTCAGAAATCCACAAAACTAAGTCTGAGGTGTTAGAAATCAGAAACCTCTTTTGAGACGGTCAGTTGTAAAAAAAGAAAAACACGGAATGATAGAGGAATTGAGTTTGTTTGTTTATTTATTTATTCTTATGCTGGGGACTGAACTCAAGATCTTGTGCTTTCCAGGAAGGCACTTAGGCTGCTGAGCTATCTCCCTTGCCCCAGTTTGTAACTTTTAGCTACTAACTTTTTATTTTTAAGAGGAAAGAAACAGTATGTGACACCATAAGAAACATTAGGTATGGAAGGAAAACTTTAATGCTGCATGTGAAAGTTTCTAGACACTGTCCCTGGCTATTTAAGAGAAAAAATGTATTTCTATGTGGAGCAACTTATTCACAGCACCAGGATATACAGTAGAATCTGAGCACAGAGACAGTCGGGGGAGTACAGGTGGTGGTGGGCGCCTGCACAGCTCCATTCCGCCAGCTTCTAGTTCTCAGGGCAATAGGGAGTGTTGCTACCAACTGGGTGAAACTGGACTTCCTTTTCTCCAACCCTACTACTACTCACTAACTCCAACTGTTTTCTCTCACCTAAACCTTTTCTATAAAAGCTGATAGCACTCCTAACCTCCTCCTAGTCATCAAAAAAAAAAAAGTTGAAGCCACAAATACCTTTTCAAACTAAATATAGGACCTTGACATTGCTGCCTAACAGCGCTCAAGTTTTCCTAATGGGCTTAAGCTGAAGCCCAGACTTCTCAGCATCACACCCAAGGCCATCCACTCTCCTTGTAACGTGTCCACTATCTGCAGATCTAGCAGACACCATCTCAAAGCATCGCTCTTCCTTTCCCACTTCTTCAATCGCTCACTGACCCTCCAAGCACTGAGTGTCTACGATGTACTTCAAATATGCAAACCACTGAGACAATGAAAAATACTGATGAAGCTCTTGCCATAATGATCTTCTTTCAAATTCCACAAATGCTCGAGATTTAATAAATCTAATATTGTATTTTCTAAATGCTTCCTCTACTCAAAATCTAATCTGACTGACATTCCCTAACTGCCTCCTCTTTAATCTGCAAATCCTAGATTTCATGTCATTTCCTCAGAAAGAAAATTCTTCACTTTAGACCTAAAATTCAGGAGCCAAGGAGACAGCTGAGCAGCCTAAGAGCCTCAGTGTCATGCCCAAGGACCAGGTGTGATCCCCGGCCCCACAGGCTGTGCAAGCTACACAGCAAGACACTGTATCACAACTTAAAACTTGATCAAACACTTAGCTGTAGGAACTCAACTTTCCCTTTGTAACTACTAATAAACAAAATTACATTTTGTATTTGTTTTTTCTACTAGACATTATAATCTCCACCAGAATAGAGATCATAGCTTCATTGACTTGTGATACCAACTTTACAAATAACGTTCTTTCCTTTTATTTTTCAATTTAAGACAAGGTCTCACTATATATACAGTGTGTGTATATTTACATTATATATGATATTACTTTTTTTTTCAGACTGGTCTTGAACTCACTACATAGCCCAGGTTGGCCTGAAACTTGCAGTAATCCTCCTGCCCCAGCCTCTTGAGTGAGGGATTATGGGCATACACCACCATTCGCAGCTGCATATAACATTCTTTCACAGAGAAAAGTGCTTGAATTTTAAGAATATTACCTCTTTTGAGTGGTTTGTTGTACCATCTATCTTTTTTGATGTCTGGAATGGTGATCCTTACCGACGGATTTTCAACTAGGATTTTATGCAGCAGAGCTAAAGACAATATGAAAACAACATTTATAAGAGTCACACAGATTAGAAAAACATAGGACTTGTGGTAGGGGACTTACTCTCTTTTGGTCTCCTTATGTCTAAATATTATTTCTAAAGTGGGGAAAGAATAAATCTACCAAATTACTGCTTTAATTTCATGTAGCTGTTCTTTGCTGCTGTCTCTATTTTAGAATAATATTCTTTCTAGATTTTAACTCTCAACTGTTTTTGAACAAGCACAGTAAGAATCTGGTAGAAATGTTGTTCACCATGCAATCACATCTTTAATAAGGTAACAAAAAACAAACCAAAGTTTTACCTGTTTCTAATACCAAATTCCATTGCTCTAATATATAATGTTCTTATATTACTTCTTCATTCAGTTTTATACTCATCAATACATTTTTAGGAGATAGTATATATAACCAACTATCATGTTAAAGCATTCTAATAGTCTTTTTTTTCTTTTTTTTTTTTGGCAGAACCGGGGATTGAACTCAGGCCCTTGCAAGGGCCTGAGTTCAATCCCCGGTTCCGCCAAAAGAAAAAAAAAAGAAAAGAAACCACAAATAACAAAAATATAGATATAAAATTCTAACATTTTTTATACAATGATACCTTGGGTGTTGAATAGCTCCAAGCTCAAACTTTCTACTGCAGCATTCAGACAGCAAAGTTCAAAAAAATCTGCTTGGTGTTTGTAACTTTGCTTGATAGGAGAACCAAAAATCTGATTTAATAAAACCTTATTAGGGGCCAGGGAGATGGCTCAGTGGAATAAGTGCTTCCCTGGCAAGTGCAAGGGCCTGAGTTCAATCCCCGGTTCCGCCAAAGGAAAAAAAAAACACCTTATGGGAGGAGAATAAACGTCACCCATTGTCTCTCCCCGAATACAAAGGGGCGACATTCAGTCTAAGCACCGCTCTGGATCAAACAACATAAATATCCGCCATTGTGCTTGCTTCAATGTTTGCACTTTTATGTAAAATATTGTAACCAAGACAAAGAAAGTTAGTGATACCATCAGTAAAGCCAAGAGGAAAACTGCAAGAACTACAGCAGAATTATTGTGAAATTTGATAAAGTCCTGGAAAAATGAAGTTATAAGAATAATTTCTGGTCCTCAGAGATAATTATTTGATTTTCCATTACCTCTTATAGGAAAGCCAGGGATATAACTCAGTGGCACAAGTGACTGCTTTATAAGCACAAGGTCTTGAGTTCAATTCCCAGTACTAAAAACAAAACAAAAAAATCTTATAGGAAAAACATGTTCAGTTCTTGACCTTTTCATTGTTCCAACATGAATTTGGAATGATCTGAGTTCAACAACTGAGGTATCACTGTATATTTCAATATGTAATCAAAGTAACAAAATAAAAACAATGACAAATTTAGAAAATATCTGAAATATATGCAAAGGTCAAATGACAATTTTTTAATTTATAAAAGCCCTCAAAGCCGCTGGAAACACTGTACATTTCCTTTTTTGGATGAAAAGGGTTCACAGAAGCAATTTAAGCAACCAGCAGTACTTGTAGACTCCAATAAAATAAATTTTAAACAAGAAAAAAAAAAAAAAAAGCCCTCAAAGGATCAAGAAAAAAAAAATCTCCTTGCCAAATTGACAAAATTGCAAAACTGACAAAAAGCTAATAAAGATATACAGTATATGCAACTTCATTAGCATTAAATTTAAAATAATAGAAGTATCATTTGTAGACCTGTTAGTTAATGTTTTTAGTATAACCTGATGAGATGGAGATAATACTATGAAATGGTACAAACTATCTGCAAAGTAACTTGGCAAGTAAGTCATAGTACTTAAAACTAAATACATCCCTGAACCTGTGATTTTGCTCCTGGAAATTAAATGATTATGAGGATACGTGCAAAGATTAAATTACAGAAATGCTTTTCGTATCTGTTCCTCAAGACTGAGAATTTAGAAAACAAACCCACATCTCCAACAAGGTTAAACAGAACAGTGAGATAATACTGTAGAATAACATCGCAGTCTTTAAAAGCAATGATGTAGAGATGGAAAATGTTCACATGACACTTGCCTGGCAAACATGATTAATATATATTTTTTTTCTGTGGTACCAGGGATTGAACTAAGAATCTCCCCAGCCCAGGCTCGGGGCACCACACTTAGCTTCTTTTTTGTGTGTGTGTTTTAGGGAAGGGTCTACAGGGGGTTCAGGGTGTCACTACTAGATCAGACTCATAGTGATCCACCTGTTTACAGCCTCCTAAGAGCTGGGATTACAGGCACGTGCTACCATGCCCAGTCTATGTTCACAGAACATGAAAATCAAATCACAAGTTATCAAAAATGTGAATAAGTGAATTTTTTGTAAATATATTTATAAATAAGATACATACACAGTAGGCACTTAAGCATATATATCACAAAGCATAGAGCATATATCAAAATATTTTTTAAAGGCTATTTCTGGGCTGGGGAGATAGCTCAGTAGAAAAAGTGCTTGCCTGGCAATTACAAGGTCCTGAGTTCAATCCCCAGTACCACAAAATTAAAAAAAAAAAAAAAAAGGTATTTCTGAAGGCAGGGGTTTTAAGATTTTTTTCTTAATTTTTGGTTTTGCTTAATTTTTTTTGAGACACAGTCTCACTATGCAGTTCCGATTGGCCTTAACTCACTATGTAGTCCAGGCAGGCCTTGAACTTGTAACAATCCTCTTGCTTCAGCTTCCTGAATGGTGGGATATATGCATGTACCACCTTGCCCAGCTTTTTCGGAATTTTTATTTGTATTTTGACTTATCTATAAGGGTCATATGTTATTTATGCAATTGTTTAAAAGTTTAAAAAGGAGTCAGGGATATAGCTCAGAGGCATGACACCTGCCTGGCAAGCACGAGGTCCTGAGTTCAAATTCTAAAGCCATAAATAAATAAATGTTTAAAAAATCAAATTGCAAAGGACTTCACTGTTCAAGAAATCAATAATTTTAATCAAGATAACCCCGTTACCTAGGGGAGCAGAATCAATCTTTTTCCAAGGGTTGAGGTATGTCTTTTTTTCTTTCCAATCAACATATTCCTGACAACTGTCACTGGGCTGGTCCCATGGCAATTCTAAAAACGAGAAACAGATCAGTTTTCTGAGTATTCATGTAGGGTAAAGATATGAAGGGAAAATAATCAACATAAAACTACAAAACATTTCTTCCAAATTAATTCAAAACACTTTTCCCACTAAAAAACTATGTCATCCAAGCTTTCACAGAGAGCAAATTGGTCAAGCAATGGCCGTGACTCTTCCTCATGTCAGACACTGACAAAAGGATGTACAAAAGGCGGTACAGGGCTACAGGATAAATCCTGAGAGTACTTGGCTGACCTTATCAGATACAAAAGTTACATTTCTTGGTATATAGGTCTTGCTATATGTTGGTCTTAACCATCCAGCAGAAAA